ACCCTTGACCCCTTAACCCCTAAACCCCTAAAACCTGAAACCTAAACCCTAAACCCTAAAACCTAAAACCTAAACCCTAAACCCTAAACCCTAAACCCCTAAACCCTAAACTTCCTAAACCTTAAACCCTAAACTTCTGCATACTTTGGGGGTCCAGGTAGGGTTCAGGGTTTGGGGTATGCTAAACCCTAAACCTCTATGTTTCAGCACAAGGTCTGTCATGAAGGGTTTAGTATGATGTAGGGGCCTAAATAATTACCAACTCGATTTTGGGGGTTCCTCATTACAATTATAGTATAATGGGCCCCAAAATCCTATTCGAATTATTAAGGCCCCTACACCCCAAACCCTTATAGTAGCCGTTATGGAACCGTTCAAGGAACCCTTTATGGGAACCCACCCCAAAATACTAAGTATTAGGTCCCTATACTAAGGTTTCGGGTTTAAGGCTTCGTGTGCAGAGCTTGGGTCATCGAGCACCGAGCTTAGGGTTCAGAGTTGAGACTGACAGGCTGACTTTGAGGTGTACTATTTAGGGTGAAGGGGTTTACGTAGTTGAGGGCTTAGGGTATCGGGTATAGGGCTTTAATAAATACAACAGGGGCATATTTCGGAAAACTTGTGATAAGAACCATTAGGACTTAATCATTAGAATGAGGGTTTCGGGTACATTACACCATAATGGGAACCAAGGACTAGTATTAGTAATCCAGTATTCAGGCTTCCATAGTCGCGTCGAGAGCAAGGCCACTCGCCCGCAGCACCCTAAACCGTAAACGCCAAACCCTAATCCCTAAACCCTAAAATCCCTAAACCCGAAAATACCCAAACCCGAAAATCCCTAAACCCGAAAATCCCTAAACCCTCAAATCCTTAATCCCGAAACCCTAAACCCCTGCTCCCTAAACCCTAATCGCCTGAACCCCTGCTCCCTAAACCCTAAACCCCTAAACCCCTAATCCCTAATTTCCTAAACCCCTAATCCCTAAACCCCTAAGCCCCTAATCCCTAATTTCCTAAACCCCTAATCCCTAAACCCTAAACCCCTAAACCCCTAATCCCTAATTTCCTAAACCCGTAATCCCTAATCCCTAAACCCCTAAACCCCTAATCCCTAATTTCCTAAACCCCTAATCCCTAAACCCTAAGCCCCTAATCCCTAATTTCCTAAACCCCTAAACCCCTAAACCCCTAATCCCTAAACCCTAACCCCTAAACCCCTAAACCCCTAATCCCTAAACCCTAAACCCCTAATCCCTAATTTCCTAAACCCCTAATCCCTAAACCCTAAACCCTGAACCCCTGCAGCTTTGCGAACGAACCGCACTCCGGACGGCTGGCGCGCAGCCACCGGATTCAAGAGCCTCTCAAAAGGGCTTAGGGATGAAGGTTTAGAGCTTTTAGGGGTTTAGGGCTTAAAGGGCTTGGGGTTTAGGGTTTAGGGGACAATTCAAGAGTGTACGGCTTATGGCTTATGGCTTAAATTGGGCTTGGATTTCAGGGTTTAGGGATTTTATTACGGGTTTAAGGCTTTGGGATTAAGGCTTAGGGCTTAAATCGTTTAGGGTGTAGGGCTTCGAAATCAGGAAAAGGTTGACGAGAAAGAGTATACGGCTCCATGGCTTAATCTTCAAGGCGGCAGATACCAAGGCCCGAAGCTCCAACATATTCTGTGGTAAAGTAGACCACGACCATGCGGACAACATGATACTGCAGATGTACCCTAAACCCTAAACCGATCTTGAAGTTCCAAGATATTGGACTCGGGCTGTCCGTAAACCTCCCTAAACCCTAAACCCTCAACCCAACCCTGATTAAACCCTCAATCCGAAGCCTCAAAACCTGAACCCGAATTCCGATGTCCCCAGTCTGAAACTGACACCCAACCCCAACACAGACCTAAACCCAAACCCCTATAAACCCTATAAGCCCTATAAGCCCCATAAGCCCTATAAACCCTATAAACCCTAACTCCTATAAGCCCTAAACCCTATAAACCCTGTAACCCCTAAACCCTAAACCCTAAACTCTACACCCTACACCCTAAACCCAAAACCCTAAACCCTATAATCCCTAAACCCTGAAAGCCCTATAAGCCCTAAACCCTATAATAACCCCTAGCCCCTAACCCCTAAAACCTATAAGCCCTAAACCGTATAAACCCTATGACCCCTAAACCCTAAACTCTACACCCTACACCCCAAACCCTAAACCCTATAAACTCTAAACCCTTCAACCATGTGAACCCCAAACCCTAAACCCTATAAGTTCTAAACCCTTAAACCCTGTAAAACCCCAAACCCTGAACCCTATAAGCCCTAAACCCTAAGCCCTGCAAACCCTATGCCCTAAACCCTATAAACCCTAAACCTTTAAACCCTAAACCCCCTAAACCCTAAACCCTGAACCCCCTATAAACCCTCGACCCTAAAACGCTTAAACTCGCAACAACCCTAAACCCTAAACCCTATGACGGAATAGTTCAATGCTTTCAGTGAAACCTGCCACCTACTGATATTGAATGGTAGCACCTTTTGCCATCTCTTCGGCTTTGACATCCGCCGCATCTTTGGAACCATGAAGCTTCGCATGTTCATCTTCGGCTAGGGTTTAGGGTTTAGGGTTTAGGGTTTAGGGCTTAGGGTTTAGGGTTTAGTTTAGGGTTTAGGGTTTAGGGTTTAGGGTACAGAAATCCACAAATTCAGCTCGACCTTCATATGACGAAGATTGGCGACGGCACTTTTGATTTCCCATGTGTCGCCCTTCTTGAGGATCTCGTGAAGACCTGGATGAAGAGAACTGGGATAGTCCAAGCTCTGGTTCGTAATGTTTGCCGCCATGAGAGAGGATGAAGAAGAAGACAGGAGGGGATGAAAACACCTACCTTTAAGTCTCGAGCCTATAACTTCACACAATCACTCACGATTTCCTAACCTAAATCCAAAACAAAAGATTTTTAGGAAGATTACATAGGGAAATCGGGCGAGATAGGGATGTCAAAATACAGGATTTTTACAAGGAAGATTGGAAAGTGTAGGGTATACCCTATGGTAAAAACGGTTGAGGTATGAGCGGGTGGTCTGGGGCCTTACATAAGGCTATCGCTAACTAATTAAACCCTCAACCCGAAGCCTCAGAACCTGAACCCTAATCCCGACGTCCCCAGTCTGAAACTGACAGCCAATCTCAACACCGACCTAAACCCTGAACCCTAAACCCTATAAACCCTAAACCCTATACACCCTATAAACCCTATAAGCCCTATAAGCCCTATAAACCCTATAAACCCTATAAACCCCAAGCCCTAAACCCTATAAGCCCTAAACCCTATAAACCCTGTAACCCTGTAACCCCTAAACCGTAAACTCTACACCCTACACCCTAAACCCAAAACCCAAAACCTTAAACCCTATAAGCCCTAAACCCTGCAAAACCCTAAACCCTATAAACCCTAAACCCTAAACCCCCTATACCCTATACCCAAAACCCTATAAACCTATACACCCTAAACCCTATAAGCCCTGTACCCTAAACCATAAACCCTCAACCCTATACCGTAAACCCTATAAACAATTAAGCCCTGTAACGTCCTAAACAAGTCCAGAGCCCCAGAACCCTAGAGCCCTAAACTCGGAACCGCCCGTGCGACCGGAGAATTCCAAGCGATGAAGTCCGGATGTAAAGGGACTAGGGGGGTTGTCGGGATTAGGGGGTTGGAGGGTTTTTAGGGCTTTTAGGGGTTCTAGGGTATTTAAGGTTTTTAGGGTTTTTAAGGGTTTAGAGTTTCGGGTCTCGGAGAGATTAGGGTCCCCAAAACGGTCTAGGGTTGGGGTGGGGATTGACTGGAAACTGGAATTCGCATCATCTATGTTTCATATGCCTCTGTTAGAAGCATGAACCCGAATATGATTTCGGTCGAAGTGTCAATAAAAACAGGTAGTCTTGTTTGTGCTTTTGCGGCTACATTCTGTTGATGGACAAAATCCTGCATGACCCAAATATAGTATAGTACCATAAATCCCATAGTTTAGGTATATAAGGTCATGCAGGATTTTGTCCATCAACCGTTGCGATGACAACAGACTTCTTTTGCTAAGGCTCCGAGGCTCTAGATGGCTCACCTTCGCACCCACTTTTCAGGAAGCGATGCAGAGCCCAGGATATTCAAAGGTAGGGGCCGCGAAGCGATGCGGTGACTTCTGTTGCTGATGACGACGATGGTGCAGCACTGGTCTTCGGAGGATCCCGCACCCGAACTCCGAACCCTAAAGTCTAAGCAACAATGCAGCACACCCGACCCCAACAAAAACCCAAGTCTCAGAAACGCTACGACTCCAAGACAATTTGAGGCCCTCACTAAGACGTCCAAAATCTCTAAAACTTATCAAACCCTAAATCCTAAACGCTAAACCCTAAACCCTAAACGCTAAACCCTAAACCCTAAACCATAAACCGTATCCTTCGGCATGTGCCAAATGGCTTCCTGCTGATACTCTGCTTTCAATAGCGGTTTAGAGTCTGGAAGTCTCTGGTTTAGGGTTTAGGGTTTAGGGTTTAGGGACGTCGGGTTTGGGATTTCAGTTGGTGTCATGATTCAGGGAGTAATTTCGCTGCAGAGTTTCGGAAACCCTGGAACCTGATTCCTAAACTTTGCAAGCTATGCCGGGGCTTTAACACTTAATCAGAATTCATTTTTAGGGTATGTTCTAGTACATGTCGTTAAAATGAAAGCCTACCTTAATCTGCTTTTGCGGGATCCCTATAACATCCATATTCGCCCTTGTTCTGATAACCTACATGTAGGTTATGCTGGTTTAAAGTAAGTGTTCAGGTTTATACAACTGTTTTGACCCCTAAACCCTACACCCTGATCACGAATTCCTAAACCCCGATCCTAAGCCCTCATCCCAAAACTTAAACTTTAACCCCTAACCCCTAATATAATCCCTAAACCCTAAAACCTAAACCCGAACTGTTTTGGCTCATCTAGGTGTAATTCTCTAAAGCAGGGTCCTGCTTTGGATCCCAAAGATACAACGTCAACGGCACCCTGAGAAAAAAGAACCCTAAAAGGGAACTGCCCATATAGAACCCTTACAGAAACTCTTATAGATCCCTTGTAAAGGGACCCTCACAGGGACCCTAAGACCCTAATTTATAGAACTACCCACATATTCGAGGCCTGGCCTCAGCGAGGGGTCTCCGCAAAGGGCGCAAGGCCCCGTGGCTCAAAAGGCCTGGCAATACCAGCGTTGTTGTAGGCCCTAAACCCTAAACCCTAAACCCTAGGGGCTTACTTAAAGGATTATGGGACTTAGTAAGTAGGGTTATAACTAAGGTAACTATACTTATCACCCC